AAAGAAAGAAAGAAAGAAAGAAAGAAAGAAAGAAAGAAAGAAAGAAAGAAAGAAAGAAAGAAAGAAAGAAAGAAAGAAAGAAAGAAAGAAAGAAAGGAGAAACTAGTAGGGGGCAGGTAGACATGTGTAGCCAAACCCTACACATCTGTAACAGTCCATTTTGTGTTTTACCTTCCTCTTGAAGGCTTTCTTGCTGATTACAGGACAAACTGAGTTCTCTTTTCCGAATTTCCCTGGTACTTTTACTATGCATTTAGCACTTAATTAACATTCTACATTGTACCTAGTCTGAATAAATACATTATGAATTCCCAGAGGACAACGTGTAAGGTTCCTGTAGGGGAGTACAATAACAGGATACAGAGATATAGAAATTAAACGGCTGAATTATGAGATTATGGCCCGCCTTTAGTAGGCAGAAAATATTGTTAAATTGATAACAAGATACAACTGTGAGTGATGAGGGCCTACACTAGAATGGTAGCAAGAAAAATGGCACGTCCTGGGGACTATGGGAAGCGTTTACACGCCTGGCTTTCACAAAGAGCCGTCCAAGCCCGCACAGCTTTGCACATCGCCGAGCTTTGCAACAGCACAGCTCTCCCCTCGGAGCTGGGGCTAACTTAGGAGCGACGGTGACTCGAAGTAGAATCGTGCCTGGCAGACGCTCACTTTCAACCTTCACTCGCTGAGCCAACTGTATTTAGACAGGCTCATGTTGCAGCCCGATTTCCAAGGACATTCTCCACATCCGTACCCGCGGGCAGAAATAAATAGCCTCGGTAATATTCGGAAAGGTCGAATTTACCTACGCGATTCCATCCCCCCGCTCGTTTACTTGGCTGAAGCACAGACATCCTTTCGCTTTAGGTCCAGCGTTTGACAGTAAACTGTACGTTGAACCCTTACAGCACGAAACTACTTATTTGGGTTTGACAGGTTTTCCCGGAGACATCAAGGTTGAAATCCAGGCTGACTTTTCGCCCTAACCCGGGGCCGTGCCCCCTCACCCAGATTCCCGGCCTGCCGCGCGCCCGCTCCCCCGCCCCA